GTTTTAAACTAAACTTTAAAATTTAGCTAAACTGAGACACAAGCATGCAACACAGAAATAAAAAGACTTGTTGGAAAAAAGTATAAACATAATTAAGTATAAACATTTAAGASACACAAATGCATGTACAAGTAAAGGAAAACAATTAATATATATTTTAAAAAACAGTAAAATTTAAATTATGTGTTCAAATTAAGACTAATTTATTGGAACTAAAGTCAATTAAAATATAAAACAGGAGATAAAGTTCTCTGATTAGTGCATTTTAATTGTGTTTATTTAGTGGTTCGTATAATTCTGTTTTTATTTCTAATTATGTCAGTGTTGGTCCTCCATACTGCAGAAGTCTGATAATCATCAGATCAGGTGTGTTGGAGCAGAGGAACCAGTAAAACCTGCAGGGCTGCAGCCCTCCAGGACCAGGACTGACCACGCCTGGTCTAAAGCATCAATAGCTGTGGATGTCCATCCGATTATTTCTTTCTGCAAGTTTCATGAGATATTTTGCTAACACTACAGGCAGATCAACACAGAAACACACAAGCATGAGCAGGAACATTACTGCCTTCACTGGTGGGAAATAATAAGTAGCTGTGGCTTTAAATTTCATCCTGAAAATAAAAAAATAATAAAAAGTCATGTTGTACATCTGCTTTACTGATACAACATTAATTTATCTGTGAAATGAACAGAGGCTCTGCAGGGTGAGTTACTCATCCAATCCTCTCTGATCCACTGCTCAGCCTGCGGGGTCACCACTCTCCTCTGAGTGACACGTTTAATGTCCGGAGGTTTCTCTCTCCTCGACCGACCGACCGACCGACTGGCCGACCGACCGACCGGCCGACCGACTGAGCTCAGGCTGCGGGGTCACGACTCTCCTCTGGGTGACACGTTTAATGTCCGGAGGTTTCTCTCTCCTCGACCGACCGGCCGACTGACCGGCCGAACGACCGACCGACTGGCCGATCGACCGGCCGACCGACTGGCCCATCGACCGACTGACCGACCGACTGGCCGATCGACCGGCCAACCGACCAGCCGACCAACCAACTGACCGACCGACCGACTGGCCGATCCACCGGCCGACCGACCCACCGACTGAGCTCAACCTGCTGTGTCACGACTCTCCTCTGAGTGACACGTTTAATGTCCAGAGGTTTCTCTCTCCTCGACCGACCGACCGACTGGTCGATCGACTGGCCGACCGACTGGCCGATCGACCGGCCGACCGACCGACCGACCAGCCGACCGACCGACCGACTGGCCGATCGACCGACTGACCGACCCACCGACCGAGCTCAGCCTGCGGTGTCACCACTCTCTTCTGAGTGACACGTTTAATGTCCGGAGGTTTCTCTCTCCTCGACCGACCGACCGACCGACCGGCCGAGCTCAGGCTGCGTCACCACTCTCCTCTTTGTGACACGTTTAATGTCCGGAGGTTTCTCTCTACTCGACTGACCGACCGACCGACCGACCGACCGGCCGGCCGACCGGCCGGCCGACCGACCGGCCGAGCTCAGGCTACGTCACCACTCTCCTCTTTGTGACACGTTTAATGTCCGGAGGTTTCTCTCTACTCGACTGACCGACCGACCGACCGACCGACCGGCCGAGCTCATGCTGCGTCACCACTGTCCGCCTCGCTTCCTGAGGTTTAACACACGAGTGTGAAGGAGCAGTCGTGACGCATGTGAAGATATGTGAAGATGTGTGGTCACCCATGCAAACTGGCAGAAATACTGAGATCTAGCAAAACCCAAGGAGGAATGTCAAGAAAAAAAAACAAGCTAGTGGCAAAGAAAACAGAACCGGAGGAG